CAAACAGATTAAATAATCGTGCTAGATTCTCTATTCCTTTACCAAAATTCCGAACTGTGTATTTTCACGTTCTCTTCATAACGTTAAGTATCAATAATTTCACAGAAATCGGAAACTTAATGTTCAGATATTTATGGAAACGACAATCAGTTAACTAGTTCGTATAAATGAGATAAACGAGATTCTATAGTATTCAGATTATAAGAATTATTACGTGTTTAGCGATTACTTAAAAATTTTACGGCGAAACTTTTTCATACTCGGCACTTTAATTACATGTTTTATTAAAACGTTTCCTGGAAGACGTCGTAAAGAAAGTGTTCGAAGGATTTTCAGCGTTGAAACTTGATTAACTGCTTTCATATCTGGCGAGGTGCGCGTTATATATACACGGATAAATGGACGCAGCAAGTATTTACGAAACGGGCATGATAAAAGCAGACAAGTAACACCCTTGTAAAAAGTTACGTAATGGAACGCGATTTAAAAACAAAAATTTTGCAAACACAGCGTTCATTAATTAACAAAGTCCCGCTCCGATTCTCTCGTCATTTATCTTCCTTGAAGGTAATTAGTCGTTCGGGTGTTAAGATGCAATAAATTTCATTATGATACAAACAGAAAAAGAACAAAGTAATTCCCTTCATAAATGCGTTTTGTTCGCCTAATATTTATCGTTATGCAAGTAATAATAAAATACAGTACTTTCCATAGAATAGTGCCAAAAATTCTTTTGTAACTAGATCCACCATGATCTATTAATCTTCTCTTCCATTAATCCTCTCTTGCTGTACGATTTTTCTTCTGCCATATTTTTGAACTTGAAATATGACAAAATGTCAGAATTTCTTAAATTTTTGTCATTCAAAGTTCAACGAAATGAAAGGAAATTGTACAGCAAATTTCAAGTGACCGTCGTAAAAAGAATTTTTTAATGCTCTTACAGACGTTTAAAATTTTTACAATTTTGCGAGAGTGAAGTACCCTAGTTTTCCCAATCTCTGCAGGATGTAAAAACATCTTTGGAAAAACCGAACTCGGGACTGAAAAATAAAGACTTTACGATTTTAAGTGAGACCGAGTGGACTGTTCTAACAATTTAAACTATCAATAATTTTTCATATTGGTTTAGTTACTCTCTTCGTCTAAGATAATATACCTAACAAGTAACAAATACATATACATATAAAATATAATTTAATACAAGAAAAATATTACTAAGTATTACTACTAAATATTATTTGCATCCGTTATTATTCTATTACTAGTGAAAATAATAATGTTCAGATGTCAGAATATTCGAATGCGAAAAGCTCTGCTGTACCCAGAATGTGTTAAAACTTTTTCACAGAACTTCACATATTTTCGAACAGCTCGCTGTTCTCGCTCCTTAAAACTTCATTTCCGCGATAAAGCTGTTTGTCGCGACATTCTTCTCGTTCTTTCGCTTCACCTACGAAATATTTGCCGTGGCGAGTTATGTCAGACTTCATACGTCCGAGAAACTTTTACTCCCCATACAGGTATATACAGAGTGTCCCATCTAATCTATAAATGCAGTTATCTCCGAAACTATAAACCATTTTAAAAAAAAATTTCTCGAATGTATGTTTTTCTGTTTTGAGAGGACAGTAATTTCATACACTTAGTTTGTCTCTAGGTAGAGACGCGTGTAGCTGATACGAAGGTCACTACTATTTTTTTTTTTTTTTTCATAATCATGTAACTTTTTTTGCATTAATCGATGCAGCAAGTTCTCTACACAAAAAAAAAAGTGTTAATCTGTGTCTAAAACCAATTAATTTAGGAAATATTTTTTATAAAATCTCTGCATAAAAATACAGAAATACAGTACGAATACTGCTCGTGTGTTTCCTCATTTTCCATGTGATAGATCTTATATAATTAAAATTAAAGTATCTCTATTAGTTAAACTAATATACATTCGATATACATAAATTACATCGACTGACGAATTATATTTGAAAGAATAGTAGTGACCTTTATATCTCCTACGCGTCCATCTAAAGACAACCTAAATCTAACCTAAACCTAAGTGTATCAATTTATTGCCTTATCCCTCGAAACAGAAAAAAAAAAAAATGCGAATAGCTTCGGAGATAATTGGATATTATAGATCAAAATGGACACACCCTGTATGTAAGAGGACGACGCGCGAAATTCATTTTGTTCGAAACATTTTAATCTAACGCTCGTTGTTTTTAACATTGTCCTAATGTCTAAGGTCGGGAGGACGAGGACACGTACGTGGAACCGTACACGAGCAGCGAGTGGATTTACATCGGCGACCTCGAGGAGAGTCACGTGTGGAAGAGGCCAGACGACCGGGATGGCGACGACGAAGTTCCGGAAAGCATCGCTAGAGAGAGGAGGAGCTCCCAGGAATCGACGGAGAGCGAGAGAAACTTCCGGAAGAAATACCAGGCGACTACGCAGAGGATAGTGCACCGAAAGATCAGCGGGGAAATGTACAAAAGGATACAGACCAAGTGTTTCGGTGAGTTGTTGCACTCCGTTCTTCTTTTTATTTCGTCCTCAAACTTCTTTTATTAAGTGTCACGAGAGACAGAGAGAGAGAGAGAGAGAGA